ATAGATTTATGGAAATGGATTAATTTAAGCTATAAGAACAGTTAGCAAGAAGCCTGCCACGGCCATACAGTTTGTATGCAATATAAGTCTCTGTGTTTACTTGGTTGGGTCTGAGCAGCTGTGGGACTGGCGGGTGACAAAGATTTTTCCTGACTGTGGGCAAGGCAGGAAAACTCTAGCTACAGGGGTGAGAGAGGGATTCTAAGCATCCTGTTTCAGATAACTCTTGCAAGCACTGGTACTTCCTTTAAAAGAGATAGAGCGGCTTTGCTTATTTGTTTGGAAGCAGGAGGAAAGGATGCACCGAGGTTAAGGAGTGGCTAGTAGCTTGGCCGGTCAGATCCAGTCATCCAATCCTAGAGAAAGATGAAGTGATGCAGGCAGAGTTGCAGAATCGCCTCACATCACTGTTTATTTCCACACGGATCTATGAAAACTTTCTGTGTCTTCTGCCCCCCACCCCCTCTTTTTTTTGGAAAAAAATGTTTATTGAGTCTTGGAGCTGCAACAGAGATCAATTTCTGATCATAAAGTTGACATCAGAGCAACAAGTACCATCATGAAGAACGAGCAGGCGCTGTGTGTGCACCTGACAAGGTCTAGTCTGGGTGGCCCGACAAAGGCTTCCTGGAGGAAGCCATGCTGAAGCTGAGCTCTGAAGAGGGCATGGGGGCGGGGGTGTCAGAGACAAGCAAGGGGGAACCTGGGTGAGAAGGATTATATTTCAGGAAGTGAGAGGTATCTGTCATGGCTGGAGTGTTGGTGGAAAGACATCATCCAAGTTAGGCTTGGGAAAGGTTCTCAGAATAACCTGCTGAATAGACTGATGAGGGTGATGATGAGGAGATGCAGGGAGCAAGTTGCTTGGGTCCTGGAAGACCGTACTGGGATGTTGTCTGAGGCTGGTATGGGAAGCCATTGCACAGAGCTCTAGGACTTTCCCTTTTGTGCTTGGAGATCCCAGTTGGAAAGCTGCAGTGAGACTGGATGGTTGGTCCTTATGGCTTGGGGCTTGGTGTGGGATGCAAGGATCATATATAAAGCCAAGGACGCTGATGGGCTTGTGTTTAACATGGGTGGTCTCCATATAGAGGTGCTTATTTAGAATTATGGAAGTCTGGTTGAGGTAATACCTGGGTAGAGGAAGTCGGTCACAGGAGGTGGGTTCTTGAGGTCATATTATCCCTGAGTGCTTCCTGTCCTGCTTGCTTCTTCCCTGTCAACTATGAGAGGAACCAGGCTTCTCTGCCAGGCCTCCTCCGTGAGGGACTGAATCGCTGGGACCGTAAAATAAATAAGCTAAGTTATTTCTGCCAGCTATTTTCGCGCAGTGATGGAAAACTAAGGATACAGTACTCAAGCCTGCTGGGTAAATGGTTCAGAATTAGTCAGGGATACTGGCCAAGCAGAGCCTTTCTGGAATGTAGGGGAAGACAAGACAAGAAAGTGCAGCAGCCGGGAGGAAGAGGTGAGAGAAAGGAGGATGGGTCGATGGATGGGGTGAAGAGTCACAGGCTTCTGGAAGGATCTGTGAAAGCCCAGTCAGAGTGAAGGGCTGTGAATGATGGCTTCGGAAACTCGGGGAAAGGTGTGGTTAGAGAGGAGCCGGGCAAAGGCGGCAACTGTGATGTAAGGGAACCGAGGGCACAAACGAGGGACCACGTCCCCGTGCAGAGGTCGGTGTTGCCGTGGCAACACTGGGGGAGGAGAGAAGATTGGGAATTGAGGTCAGCACTCCAGTGATGTGATGCAGCTGTAAACCATACCGCTGACTGTAGGTAGCAGCTGACAAGGACAGGAGGGGACGGCATGTGACATGGTGAGGACATAGAACTAAACACAAGCCCCATCTTCACGTTGACGGAGAGTACCATTGCACTCAGGGACAACCTACTTGTCTCATTTAGGGGTCACCTGGGTCATCGCCCCAGATGGCATAAAGGTTTAAACAGTACTGCCACATCCATTATGGCAAACATAAGCACTGCCCGGTGAAGACCTGTGCCATCTGCAACAAGTGTGCATGGCCTTGTGGTAGAAATGGCGTTTAAGAGCAGGTGTGTGTGTATGTGTGCGGTCATGCTGTCCTGGGTTTGAACCCCAACCCCATCAATCCCTGGCTATGAGGCCTCGAACAGGTTTCTTCTCTCTCCCCTTTTCCTGTCAAATGGAGTAGCGCCACGTTGAGGGTTACATGAGCTAATCCCAGTGACCGGGAGATGAGCCTGGAGGCAGCTGTGGTTGTTACTACAGAACAAGGGAGGGGGATATTCCAGAGGTCAGGGGATTTGCCTAAGGCCACACATCACAGTGACAGATTCCATTCACATGTGGTTAGTTTGACACCCGGAGACTTGTGTTACAAAGTCACCTTGCTACACATGCAACCCAGGTACAACTACTCAGAAAACATCAGTTGTTCTTGTTCAGCTATTAGTAAGTGGAGGGGTCTGGGTAACCTTTATCCACTGTGTGTGTGTGTACTTGTGTGCAATCATATGTGTATGTGGTGGTTTGAAAAAAAATGGCCCCCATAGGCCCATAGGAAGTGGCACTATTAGTAAGTGTGGCCCTGTTGGAGTTGGAGGAAGTGTCACTGGGGGCGGGCTTTGAGGTTTCAGAACCTCAAGCTAGGCTTCGTGGCTCACTGTCTCTTCCTGCTGCCTGCGGATCCAGATGTAGAACCCTCATCTCCTTCTCTGGCACCACGTCTGCCTGCATGCCATCATGCTTCCCGCCATGATGATAATAGACTAAATCTCTGAACTGTAAGCCAGCCCCAATTAAATGTTCTCTGTTATAAGAGCTGCTGTGGTCACGGTGTCTCTTCACAGCAATAAAACCCTAACTAAGACAGTGTAGTTGAAAGTTTTCTCTGGTCCTGCCCGGCCCTGCGGTCAGGATGAATCTCTTCCTCCCGTGTCCTGCAGCCCAAGTAAACACACAGAGGCTTATATTATTTGAAAATTGTATGGCCTGTGGGTCAGGCTTCTTGCTGCCTAGCTCTTATATCTTAAGTTAACACATGACTATTAATCTGTATATTGCCACAAGTTCCATGGCTTTGCCTGCGTCCCATTACATGTTGCTCGTTGGGTGCTGGCTTGCATCTCTCCCTTTTGCCTTTCCTCGTTCTGTCTATCTGCTTGTATTTCCTGCCTGCCTCTAAGCTGCCCTGCCAGAGGCCAATACGGCTTTATTTATCAACCAATCAGAGCAACACATAGTCACAGCATACAGAAAGACACTGCACAGCATGACAGTGGATGTGCACCTGTGTGTATCACTGCTTACCTTGTCCCCCCAGGACAGAGACGCTTACCAAATCTGCAGTGAGATCAGCAGCCGGCAAAAGCCCAGTGACCCTCCCTCCTCTGCCCTCTCACAGCCCTAAATTTTACACAGGCTCTGGGGGTATGAACTCGGGTCCCCAAGCTTGCTCAGCGAACACTCTTACCCACTGAATTATCTCCCCAGCTTCTTTCACACAGTCTTTTCCGTCAAGTTCTAACTGGCTTCTAGTAGGCAGCATCGGTGGTATCTGGACTCTCCAGGACTCCCCAGGGCCTGTGAAAACAGGAGAGGAGACGCATTCACTGAACTTTCTGTCGGCCAGCTGGTTTCACCTTCCAAATCAGTCATGGGAACTAAGCTAGAGTTTAGCCACATGCAGGCCTCGCAGGGGGCATCTTGAGCTCTAGAGGACATAGATCGGAGCTTTACTGCTAGTGTGTTCCATAC